ACATTTGATTTCTACGAATGGAGTCTCATGGTTTTTCTTTCCTAATTAATAAATGGAGAAGATCTGACACTATCTTTAAGGTCTGACCCATCTTGAGATGGAAAGGAGAGGCTCTCGCATCTCAACTGTCCGGCCAAATTTCCATCGAGGTTTCCCAGAATCAGTGTTTAACTCAAGCAGAAAAGTACTGAGCTTCAGACCTTGATATGCCACCAAGTGTCCGCTCAAAGACAAAGATAGGGATGCCATAGTGAGCTAGAAATAAGCTCCCGGATACTCCCTGAGCGTTCTTTGCTAAACCGGGTATGCTATTAAATGGGGAGAAAGTGGGGAGAAACATACTCAGCAGAGGAAGTGAAAAACGTATTTCAAGAACCTGTTTCATAAGCAAAACGTTTGGCAAAAGGTAGTCAAGCAGCGCAGTTAGGCAAACGTGAACTAAACAAAGTAGGTAGTTCTACAATTGACAGTGATACTCCTAAATCTGAAAAATTGCATTACATAGTCCCCCCCCCAAAAAAAGGCAATTACTAACATCTGAAAAGCTCACAATCAGAATCTCTTCTTGCACCGAGTGCCAACTTGTGGTGCCAAAGTGTAATTTTCACCCGTAACTCCCTGATTAAAACATTTTAAGTATCTCTAGCTTTCAATTGGCTCTTCTGACCGTCGGTCTCCAGACAGAAGTTCTGTGATATGTTAAGCTTTGACGAGTTAGACTTAACATCAAAGAACTTATTGTTTTAGTATCATTGCAACCCACTAATTGCACATTCGCTTCTGCATTCTTTGCCTGTACAGATGGTCCTCAACTTACAACACAGTTGGGAGCACAATTGTTAAGTCAACACAGGCATAAAATGAGATGTCACTTACAATGGCAATCCAGGCACTTCTGATTGTGAGTCATTAAGTGAGTACCCACTCCAATCCAAGCTATTCCAAGCTAGGTGTCCTCCCCACCCCAGCCCTGAGCTTCAGTAAGGTAAGGGACTGCCTCTAATTCCTCCCACCTGCCCATCTCCCCTCCATCTCTGCCTTGTGGCTGCCATGCATCCTGCCTTATGGGGGTTGCTTGCTACGCTCCATGAAGCCCAGTGGTGGGATTCAGCCAGTTCGCACCTACTCGGGAGAACTGGTTGTTAACTTTCTAAGCAGTTCAGAGAACCGGTTGTTGGAAGAAATCTCCTTTTGTTTTTTCCACTTTACAGGGCTAATCCTGTAAGGAAGGCCGGAAGGAAACATTCTGGCATTGTTTCTAGCTTAATCTTTATTGCCCTG